AGCTAAGAGACTGAATAGTCCCTGGCTAACACCCAGCATCCTTAAATCCATTAACACAAAGCACCTATATGAAAAACAGTACAGAATAGTTCAAATAACTAGAGACCATTCTAAATGTTGCTCATCAATCCTTGCCAGCCTGATAAGAAGGTCAAAAAAATTGTATTATGAAAACAGATTACATAACATAAAAGGTGATATGAAAAAGACCTGGAAAACCCTATCCAAAATTCTAGGAACTAAAAAGATATCCAAAAACAAAACAATCAAATTAACAAAATCAGACGAACCCCTACTCCCACCAACTGAAACAGCAAACAGACTCAATGTTTTCTTCTCCACCATAGGAAAGAATCTAGCGAGCAAAGTCCCAAGCTCAAACACCCATCCATCAGACTACCTCACGGCACCTACCCGAATACACTATTCCTAGCCCCAACCAACCCAACAGAAGTCTTGCTCATCATCAACACCCTTAAAAATAAGGCAGGGGACATAAATAACTTACCACCTTTCATGTACGAAAAAGCATCACAAGTACTGTCACCAATTATTGTAACACTCTTTAACAAATTCATCAAATCCTCCACCTCCCCAGCAATTCTCAAAATAGCGAGGGTCACCCCGATCCACAAAGGAGGTGATCAAACCAACTTGAATAACTATAGACCAATATCTAACCTACCTCTGCTCTCTAAAATCTTTGAAAAATTAATTCATAGAGAGATCTATTCCTACCTCGTCTCACACAACATACTAAACCCCTGTCAGTTTGGATTCAGGACTTATAAAAGCACAAATGATGCTATTATACACATGCTAGAACTAATATACACCGCTCTCGAGAAGAAAGAAGTCCCGCTGGGAATCTTCATTGATTTATGCAAATCTTTTGATACAGCTGATCATGATTTGCTGCACATTAAATTAACACACTTGGTATAAGAGGGCACTCCCTCAACTACCTAAAGTCATACCTTAGTAACAGAAGCCAATATGTGTACACAAACGAAGCAAACTCTTCCACTCAACCAATCACAGTCGGTGTCCCACAAGGAAGTGTCCTTGGCCCACTCCTCTTTCTCATTTACATCAATGACCTACTGAATGCATCACAGCAACTCAAACCCATATTATTTGCAGATGACACAACATACATCTTCTCTCACCCAAACCCAGTCATACTGGCTAACACTGTTAACCCTTTGACTGTCGCGGCCGTATATATACGTCTTACGAGGTACCGTGTTTGACGTATATATACTCATAAATTCTTGCGGCTTCAAACCAAGCAGGAGAAAGCTGGTAGGCCCACATGTGAGAGAATGGGTCTGTGTGGTCAGTGTGCACCATATAAAAAAAATCCTGGAGCATGCAGTGCATAATGAGAAAAAAAAAACTCCGACCGTTTTTTTTAATTAAAATGCCGACTTTGTGGTCTATTTTCGTATAGTATTAATGGTTGTATTCTCGTTTTCTTGGTCTCATTTGATAGAATGGAAAACATATTATAGAAATAGAGGTGATTTTGATTGATTTTACTATAAAAAGAACCTAGAAATGGAGCTCAAAGTAGGGGAAATGTTTGATTTTTGCCAATGTTCAAAAGTAAACAAATGATGCCATTGTCCAATAAATGTCCAACTAGCCATTCTAATATGCAGTCATGAATGGGTTGATGTTATTTGTACAACTATTACAGTATTGCAGTAGTCTGCATAATAGTAAGTCTTCTATTTTTTGTTTGAATAAAAATTCAAAATAGAAAGCAAGAGTAATATCAGAGGGGCCTGGAGACATGACTGATGAGCAAAGAAAATGTTATTTTAGAGCCAGGAATGTCTGCATTGTTCATTCTGGACCTTATTTTGAAATTGTCATATTTTTTAGTTTTTGAGAAATTGGCCAAATTGCAAATTTCTGACCACATTATTAGGTAGTTCATATCGGTAAATGGGCAGTTTCTTGTACTCAATCGATAGAAAAAATGGAGTTCTAAAGAAATAGCTATGAGTTTGGGCGACTGGAACAGTGGAATTAGCCGAAAATAGGGCTCAAAGTGGGCGAAATCGCCGATTTGTAAACAGCGCCGAGGTCGCTAACTTCACGAGAGCATAATTCCGTCAGTTTTCCATCAAATTTCGTTTTTTTTTGTGTCATTTCAATCGGGAAAAGATTCTCTATCATTTCATAAGAAAAAATAATTTTTTTTTTTTTAAATTTTGCGACACCAGGAGACACCTCAGGATTGGGGGTTGCGACAGTCAAAGGGTTAATGCCGAATTGCAGAAAATAACTACCTGGATGATGATAAATAAGCTTACCCTCAATACTGACAAAACCTATTTCATTCAGTTTGGAAACAGAGCTGCAAATGTTCCACTTAACATAACGCTAAATGGATCACCCATCACAAGACTCACAGAGGTAAAATTCCTAGGAATCCACCTTGACAGTAGCCTCAAATTCCAGACACACATACAACAAATTTCTAAGAAAATACACAAATAACCCGCACATAAAAGAGAGGCATACTATGAAAGATACGGTACTATGTTCCTTGCACTGTATCATTCACTCATCTACCCTTATCTCACATATGGAATTGTGCATGGGGATCAACAACATTAAATCACTTAAGGCCCAGGAAAAGGCAGCAGTCAGAATGATAACAAATTCCCACTCCAGACAGCATACTCCACCAATATTCAAAAGTCTAAAACTGCTCACCATTAAGAACATCCATACTTATTCTTGTGCCTACTACACTGTTACACGCCACTCCCTTATGCTCCATTGTATACGAAAAAGGCCTGACTATAATAAGTCCTGTAATATTATATCGTGAACTACTTTATTACCAGATAGATGAAGAAGGTTCGACTATATATTATTATCGGGTATTGTATAAATGATAGTTACTCTCGAGCAAGGTTGTACGTACTTAATAAGATTTATGTTATTCATTAGGTATTTCTATTGTATCATACACATGTCATGAATATTGTATTACAGTAGGTTGATTAATGTGTTCTGTTATGCAAGTGGGAAACCACTACTTTGGGGACTGGTTGATGGTTCCAGAATTGGCGCCTCGCGCTACCTCCTGACCGACCTGACGTCAGACCATTGAGTGTATTTGAACAGTCAGTCAGATCATAGCACTGACTCTGATCAGGTCTTCAACCCAGAGCTCTTAACTTAGTCAAGAATTCTAAATCATGCCTATTGTCTTAACTTTGCTGTTAATTCCCATAACTAATTTACTTCCTTGAAGCTCCCATAGTCGTTGAACGCTGGGATTGACAAATTAGACATTCTTATTTTGACTGTTCATTGTAATTATTGTATTATACTTAATTTATGAGGATTTGAACATAGAATTACATTCCTCATTGTACAGTCCCATTTCATTGATAATAGTGAATTGTCATTTTAATTCACTGACTGGATACCAATAAAGTTTCATAATTGGTAGTAAATAAAACTAACCAAAAAACAAAGCGAAGTAATTATTCCCCTATTGTGACGGCATAGAGCAAGTCGTAACATACATACATAGAACACTACTCTCAAATACAAACCCTCCACTCAAACTTCTCCTCACCAACCTTAACAGGACACACGACCATAACACAAGACACAGATCTTTGTTTGATGTACCCTGTGTCCATATCACACTGTGTAAAAACTCTGTGCACATAAAGGGCCCGAAAATTTGGAATTCATTACTAGTAAATACTAAAGTAACCAGGTCTGAACACCAATTTAGGGCTCTTCTCAAAAATCACCTACTCACCCTAAACTAAATACTCAATACTCAATACATAAATAACCTGCACATAGAAGAGAGGAGCTTACGACGACGTTTCGGTCCGACTTGTACCATTTACAAAGTCACACCAAAACGTCGTCGTAAGCTCCTCTCTTCTATGTGCGGGTTATTTTTATATCGTTCCAGTCACGGTATTGTGCCTTTTTTGTTATTCAATACTCAATATTTAACTTTACCAAAAGTCTCCCAATCACCGAAATCTTAAAACTTCAAATCTAGACGCCCAAAGTTCATACATTATTAATACTACATTGTAGTATAAATACGTACACAAAACAATACTGCCTCACACCCGACTGTAATATTGTAAACTACTTCCAACAACTCACAATGTTATATTCACATAATATAATGTCAATATTTACTATTGAAACTATTGTAATTTGAGTAAAATTAGTCTACAATAAATAAAAAAAAGATGTACAACTTAAACAAACTATGATCAATTTCTTTAGTATTAAGTAGTCTGTCAACCATTAAGTTAAGTCTGTCCATAATGCCTAGACATGATAGTGGCCTTTGTACTGCAACTCATTATTGTAATTTCATAATCTCAATGTAATCTTGCAAGGAAATAAAATTTGTTTGTTTGTTTACTGTACTTGTTTTAATTTTTAAGATTATAATCAGGATTGATTTCTGCTGTATCTAATATCGCCCCTCAAGGAAGGTTCCTTGATGTTGGTGAGGGGCTCTTGATTTAGGGAATTGGATCTGTGCTCCAGTTCCCCGAATTAAGCCTGAATGCCTTCCACATCCCCCCCCCCCAGGCGCTGTATAATCCTCCGGGTTTAGCGCTTCCCCTTGATTATAATAATAATAATAATAATGTATCTAATATCTAACTTTTAAATAAGATATTACAAGGACCCCAATGGAAATTAGTTACTCTGACTTTGGGTTATCCTGAGTAATTTACACATATGTTACTATATATGATAATCGTAATCCCCTAAATCTGTATAACTGTACTTAGGTACCAGTACCTAACTAAACTTACTAAGACTTGCAGAGATCCTAATGGAACTGCGCTGATGTTTGAGCCACATGCAACACCTCTGCCTAAATCTACATAATGTAATATTTTATGTGTGTGCTAACAACATGCGTCAGGGCAAGGCCAATTAAAAAAAAAATGTTGTGTGATACCAAAATAAAAACATACTTGTTGGTGTTGTTGGGGTTTATAGGGCCACTGAGAACCTGTGCAGTATCGAGCTTTTCCTTCCAATGTCCGGGAAAAAACCTCAACCACACTGAGAGGATGTTTACTAGTGGTGGGACATATATGTCCCATCAACATGTCCTGAGGCCAGCAAGAAGGTGCAAGCACAGGAAATGATCTCCTGACGGTCTGGAAGATCAAACCTCTCCCCATTGAGGTGCAGGTTTCGATTCACTGCGAGGGTTGAAACACTGGGAGTGTTTCTCTACAACGATTGTCTATGTTCCCCATCAGTAAAATGAATACCTGGGTATTAGTCGACTGGTGTGGGTCGCATCCTGGGGCAAAACTGACCTAATTTGCCCGAATTACTCTGCTTATTATTATTATAATCAAGGGGAAGCGCTAAACCCGGAGGATTATACAGCGCCTGGGGGGGATGTGGAAGGCATTCAGGCTTAATTCGGGGAACTGGAGCACAGATCCAATTCCCTAAATCAAGAGCCCCTCACCAACATCAAGGAACCTTCCTTGAGGGGATTACTCTGCATAACAAGTGGCTTTCCATATAGTAGTATGTCATTGATGTCAGCTAGGACTGCATACCTTGTACATGTACTTCTAGAAATATTACTATTATTATTTTATTTATTAGAGATGTAAGGTTAAGGACTGCTCTCCGAATTAGCTTAAGATTAGATTTAGATTTTGCCACCGAAGTGGCTAATTTACTGTGCACCCCAAGGCCTGAGCTTGCTACCATCTGCAGCTCATGACTGCCATCCCCACGAGTCCCTTTGGGGCGGGGCAGATGGCAGACCAGAGGCCTAGCTTCTCCCTACGAGCCCCGTGAGGGCGGGGACTGTAGCTAGGCCTGGGGACAGTTGGTACCTCCTCCCATGGGAGACTTAGGTCTCGAGACACTCCCCAGATAGGGAGCCAAGGCCGGGTCACCACTACTTGGAAAAGACCCGGGCCGGGAGAGTACCGGCGAATAAAAAAAAAAAAAAACTGTGCACCCCATGTCCATCGTGTGGACGGTAGCGCAAGAGGATATAAGAACATGAGAAAGAAGGAACACTGCAACAGGCCTACTGGCCCATGCGGAGCAGGTCCATGAGTTCCCTCCGGATTAGCCAAATGACTCCCCCCCCCCCCCGGATTAGCCCAATGACCCACCCAGTCTGGTCACCTCCACTCAAGGATGGAGCACGGCACCAGACCCAGCAGCACAAGCTAGTCAGGTCCAACTCACACCCACCCACACCCACTCATGTATTTTTCTAACCTACACAACGTTTTAGCCTCAATAACTGTACTCGGGAGTTTGTTCCACTCATCCACAACTCTATTACCAAACCAGTGCTTTCCTATATCCTTCCTGAATCTGAATTGTTCCAACTTGAAACCATTGCTGCGAGTCCTGTCTTGGCTGGAAATTTTCAGCACGCTATTTACATCCCCTTTATTTATTCCTGTTTTCCATTTATACATCTCGATCATATCCCCCCTAATTCTGCGCCTTTCGAGAGAGTCCAGATTCAGGGCCCTCAGTCTATCCTCATAGGGAAGATTTCTGATACAGGGGATCATCTTTGTCATCCTCCTCTGTACGTTTTCCAGAGCAATTTATATCCATTCTATAATACGGTGACCAGAACTGAGAAGCATAGTCTAAATGAGGCCTAAAAAAGGATATATAGAGTTGAAGAACAACCTGAGGATTTCTATTATATATACTTCTAGATATGAAGCCAAGAATTCTGTTAGCTTTATTGCGAAAACTAATGCACTGTTGTCTTGGTTTTTAGATTACTGCTAACCAGAACTCCTAAATCCTTTTCGTAATCAGTAGTATTAAGATATACATTATTTAGTTTAAATGTGGCATGGTTATTTAACTGTCTAACATTTAGAACTCTGCATTTGTCAATATTAAACTGCATTTGCCACTTCTCCGACCATTGCATTATCCTGGAGTGCTCTAGTGTCCTCATTAGAATGAATTGGACGGCCTATTTTGGTGCCATCAGCAAATTTGCTTATTTTTTTTTTTATCACACTGGCCGATTCCCACCAAGGCAGGGTGGCCCGAAAAAGAAAAACTTTCACCATCATTCACTCCATCACTGTCTTGCCAGAAGGGTGCTTTACACTACAGTTTTTAAACTGCAACATTAACACCCCTCCTTCAGAGTGCAGGCACTGTACTTCTCATCTCCAGGACTCAAGTCCGGCCTGCCGGTTTCCCTGAACCCCTGAACCACCGGGGGGCCCGGTGGCCTGGTGGCTAAAGCACCCGCTTCACACACGGAGGGCCCGGGTTCGATTCCCGCCGGGTGGAAACATTCGACACGTTTCCTTACACCTGTTGTCCTGTTCACCTAGCAGCAAATAGGTACCTGGGTGTTAGTCGACTGGTGTGGGTCGCATCCTGGGGGACAAGATTAAGGACCCCAATGGAAATAAGTTAGACAGTCCTCGATGACGCACTGACTTTCTTGGGTTATCCTGGGTGGCTAACCCTCCGGGGTTAAAAATCCGAACGAAATCTTATCTTATCTTATCTTATAAATGTTACTTTGCTCACACTCCAACAGCACGTAAAGTATTAAAAACCATTCGTCTCCATTCACTCCTATCAAACACGCTCACGCACGCCTGCTGGAAGTCCAAGCCCCTCGCACACAAAACCTCCTTTACCCCCTCCCTCCAACCTTTCCTAGGCCGACCCCTACCCCGCCTTCCCTCCACTACAGACTGATACACTCTTGAAGTCATTCTGTTTCGCTCCATTCTTTCTACATGTCCGAACCACCTCAACAACCCTTCCTCAGCCCTCTGGACAACAGTTTTGGTAATCCCGCACCTCCTCCTAACTTCCAAACTACGAATTCTCTGCATTATATTCACACCACACATTGCCCTCAGACATGACATCTCCACTGCCTCCAGCCTTCTCCTCGCTGCAACATTCATCACCCATGCTTCACACCCATATAAGAGTGTTGGTAAAACTATACTCTCATACATTCCCCTCTTTGCCTCCAAGGACAAAGTTCTTTGTTTCCACAGACTCCTAAGTGCACCACTCACCCATTTCCCCTCATCAATTCTATGATTCACCTCATCCTTCATAGACCCATCTGCTGACACGTCCACTCCCAAATATCTGAATACATTCACCTCCTCCATACTCTCTCCCTCCAATCTGATATCCAATCTTTCATCGCCTAATCTTTTTGTTATCCTCATAACCTTACTCTTTCCTGTATTCACTTTTAATTTTCTTCTTTTGCACACCCTACCAAATTCATCCACCAATCTCTGCAACTTCTCTTCAGAATCTCCCAAGAGCAGTGTCACCAGCAAAGAGCAACTGTGACAACTCCCACTTTATGTGTGATTCTTTATCTTTTAACTCCACGCCTCTTGTCAAGACCCTCGCATTTACTTCTCTTACAACCCCATCTATAAATATATTAAACAACCACGGTGACATCACACATCCTTGTCTAAGGCCTACTTTTACTGGGAAATAATTTCCCTCTTTCCTATGTACTCTAACTTGAGCCTCACTATCCTCGTAAAAACTCTTCACTGCTTTCAGTAACCTACCTCCTACACCATACACCTGCAACATCTGCCACATTGCCCCCCTATCCACCCTGTCATACGCCTTTTCCAAATCCATAAATGCCACAAAGACCTCTTTAACCTTATCTAAATACTGTTCACTTATATGTTTCACTGTAAACACCTGGTCCACACACCCCCTACCTTTCCTAAAGCCTCCTTGTTCATCTGCTATCCTATTCTACGTCTTACTTTTAATTCTTTCAATAATAACTCTACCATACACTTTACCAGGTATACTCAACAGACTTATCCCCCTATAATTTTTGCACTTTCTTTTGTCCCTTTTGCCTTTATACAAAGGAACTATGCATGCTCTCTGCCAATCCCTAGGTACCTTACCCTCTTCCATACATTTATTAAATAATTGCACCAACCACTCCAAAACTATATCCCCACCTGCTTTTAACATTTCTATCTTTATCCCATCAATCCCGGCTGCCTTACCCCCTTTCATTTTACCTACTGCCTCACGAACTTCCCCCACACTCACAACTGGCTCTTCCTCACTCCTACAAGATGTTATTCCTCCTTGCCCTATACACGAAATCACAGCTTCCCTATCTTCATCAACATTTAACAATTCCTCAAAATATTCCCTCCATCTTCCCAATACCTCTAACTCTCCATTTAATAACTCTCCTCTCCTATTTTTAACTGACAAATCCATTTGTTCTCTAGGCTTCCTTAACTTGTTAATCTCACTCCAAAACTTTTTCTTATTTTCAACAAAATTTGTTGATAACATCTCACCCACTCTCTCATTTGCTCTCTTTTTACATTGCTTCACCACTCTCTTAACCTCTCTCTTTTTCTCCATATACTCTTCCCTCTTTGCATCACTTGTACTTTGTAAAAACTTCTCATATGCTAACTTTTTCTCCCTTACTACTCTCTTTACATCATCATTCTACCAATCGCTCCTCTTCCCTCCCTCACCCACTTTCCTGTAACCACAAACTTCTGCTGAACACTCTAACACTACATTTTTAAACCTACCCCATACCTCTTCGACCCCATTGCCTATGCTCTCATTAGCCCATCTATCCTCCAATAGCTGTTTATATCTTTCCCTAACTGCCTCCTCTTTTAGTTTATAAACCTTCACCTCTCTCTTCCCTGATGCTTCTATTCTCCTTGTATCCCATCTACCTTTTACTCTCAGTGTAGCTACAACTAGAAAGTGATCTGATATATCTGTGGCCCCTCTATAAACATGTACATCCTGAAGTCTACTCAACAGTCTTTTATCTACCAATACATAATCCAACAAACTACTGTCATTTCGCCCTACATCATATCTTGTATACTTATTTATCCTCTTTTTCTTAAAATATGTATTACCTATAACTAAACCCCTTTCTATACAAAGTTCAATCAAAGGGCTCCCATTATCATTTACACCTGGCACCCCAAACTTACCTACCACACCCTCTCTAAAAGTTTCTCCTACTTTAGCATTCAGGTCCCCTACCACAATTACTCTCTCACTTGGTTCAAAGGCTCCTATACATTCACTTAA